AAAAAATTAAATTCAAAAAGAACAAAAAAAACCAGCCTTATCTGGTTTGGCTCAATGGATAGCACACTGGCCTGCGAACTGATGGGTCCGAGGTTTGATTCCGGTGAAGAGCACATGCCGGGTAAGGGGCATGCAGGAGGCAGCTGATCAGTAATTTTCTCTTATCATTGATGTTTTTCTCTCTCTCTTCCTTCCTTTCTGAAATCAATACAAATATATTTAAAACAAACAATGACAGCGGTGATTAGTGACTGGCACTGGAAAGAGTAGACAAACCTTGCTATGCACTGTGAAGTGTGAAACGCACGTACGGTATTGCTGTCATCACCGTGACAGGGACAGCCGGGTAACTGCGTTATGCAGCTGGATTGTTTGGCCCAGAGCTTCCCACGGCCAACCCCACGGCAGGGCGCCGCCCTCCGCACCAGGTGAGTGCAGCCCCGCGAGCATTACCCTGAGTCAGTGCTCCGTCCCTCCTACCTTTTCAGCCTCGTCCCATAACTCGAGCTCGCCTAAGAAGTTCTCGGGCCGTGTTGAGAGATTTAGTTGAAAGGAGAAGCCGAACGTGGAGTAAACAGACTGCAAGAACTGCAGGCACCCCCGGATTTCCTCTGCAATCCAACTGGCCAGAGTGAGAAGCCACTCTTTATTTATTCATGAATTGCCGGAGTCCATTCATTATCTTTGCTGGCTGGGTTTGGACGGAGACCCCCCAGAGAAGGCTGGTGACCTTTTGGAAGTTAGAACTGTGAACTACCCAGTAGGTTTGAGTGGTGATGGTTGAAGCATCTCCACCTTAGTTCACTCAATTAGATCTTTGTTGATTGTTGTTAATCGGATGCTCCTGGAGATCTGTTGATGGGTTAATCGGGTATTCTGCCTATTCCTGAAGATTGTTTGCGGATGTGTGTCATTAAAACCTCTTTACCCTAAGGGCTACTCCAGATGAATAAAAGCTTGGAGAGACCTGAGCGAAGCGGGAGGAGGAAGTCTTTCCAGAGGAGGAAGTCTTTCCGGACTTGCCCGCCTGGTCCCCCGGTATCGCAAAATTATCTTGTGTCTTTTTCATTTGTTGTGCGGCTCCTCTTTCAGATACCGAACCCTTCTCCACGCGGGTTGTGGAAGGAATCACTCAGCGTCTGGCACCCGAACGTGGAGGGAGTGTTACTCAGCAATTACTGATCTGAGACCCCAGTTTGAGAATCACAGACTGTTAGGCTGAAGGAGACCTCAGAGATGAGACTGCACTTTGTAGTTTACAGTGACTCTGAGAGACTGAGAGATGCTGTGAGACGAGGAGCCCAGGCAGCACGGAGTTGGCGCCGCCCGGGCCCGCCCGGCACTGCTCACCTGCTCCACGGTGCAGAAAATGTGGGCGTCGTCCTGCTGGAAGCGTCGAACCCGGGTCAGGCCACTCAAGGTTCCCGACAGCTCGTTTCTATGAAGAACCCCAAAGTCGGCAAATCGAATGGGCATTTCCCTCCAGGACCGCGGGCGGTGGGCAAACATGAGACTAGAAGAGAGGCGGTAACACACAGCTTCTACTCAGTGGGGAGATGGTTGAGTCATGAGCAAAACAGTAACAAGTTATGATTAAGCCTCAAGACGGGTCCATTTTTATTCTGGTTCTTAGATCACGAGCTTTAAAGAAACTTCTTCTCCTGAGTTACCGCACCTTGGATTTGCATCGCTTTGGCGCCCTAGGAGCCTGTCTACCATCTCTCCCAGAATGCATCTCTCCCAGAATGCAGCCTCCTATGCCCATTCACCCAGGGAATTCCCACTCACCGTTGACCACTCATTTCAAAGGCCACTTTTTTTTCTTTTAAAGAATAGTTTATTGTGGCCCGCATGGCTCAGGGGTTGAGCATCAACCTAGGAACCAGGAGGTCACAGTTCGATTCCCAGTCAGGGCACATGCCTGGGTTGCGGGCTCCATCCCTAGTGTGGGGCGTGCAGGAGGCAGCCCATCCATGATCCTCTCTTATCATTGATGTTTCTCTCTCTCTCCCCCTCTCCCTTCCTCTCTGAAATCAATAAAAAAAAAATTTAAAAAATAGTTTGCTGATTTTTAGAGAGCTGGGGAGAGGGAGAGAGAGAGAAAGATCGATGGGAGAGCAAAATACCCATTGGCTGCCTCATGCACGCCCCCTACTGGGGATTGAACCCGCAATCCGGGCATGTGCCCTGACTGGGAATGGAACCGGCGACCTCTCGGTGCACAGACAACACCCAACCCACTGAGCCACACTGACCGGGCCTACTTGACAGTTAATACTCACCAGTGCCCTGGGCAGTTCATGGGTTTAAGGGCAAAAGTGTCCTTGTCCACACGGAAGGAGAACATGTTCTGGCTGTAGTGCTGCCAGTGGCCCGAGGCCTCCCAGAGTTTACTGTTGAGCACGTTGGGAGACAGCACTTCCGTGAAGTCCCGGCGGTGATACTCCTCCTGCGAGGAAAGGCATGGAGAGGTCAAGGCCACGCGGAGCCCGACTGAGAGCACGCCGTGTGGACGGGATCACCTCGTGTGACGTGTGATGAGCGTGCCCGCAGTGGGGGGGTGGTCCCTTCGCATCGTGGGAGGTGAACGCACTCTGTTTTTCATGTGAAGTATGTCTACCACGACAGTACGTGATGCTTTGATGCTTTGTGACTTAGGAGCTGGAATACTTCACAGAGAGCATTTATAAAAGCATCGATCTCCAAGGCCAGTGAGCAGGGAGAGGAGGAAAGCTACGTTCTTCAGGGTCAGGAAGGCGGGTCAGGGTCAGGGTTGCCTCTGCCGGCTGGGAGAGCTGCAACCACACGGGAGGATCCGAAGCAGGCCCGCGTCAGCTGACAGAGGCTTCTAGGACCCGCAGTTATTATTATTGGGATTTTTAAAAAAGTGATTTTTACAGAGAGAGGAAGGGAAAGGGAGAGAGGGACAGGAACATCGATAGAGGGAAACGTCAATCGGCCGCCTCCTGCACGCCCTACACTGGGGATGGAGCCTGCAGCCCGGGCCTGTGCCCTGACTGGGAACTGAACCGCGACATCCTAGTTCATAGGTTGACGCTCAACCACTGAGCCACACCGGCCGGGCTGCAGGACCCACGTTTAAGGCAGTGGTTCTGTCGCCTATCGGAAACACCCTTGCCATTCTGGTACCCAGTGCCACGTCCACGGCTTTCTCTCTCGGGAAGCTTTTAGAGTACTTTCTTTCTCTCTCAAGGTCTAGAATCTCTCAGCAGTGTGCACGGTGGCCAAGGACAGGATGCTTCCACACACAAAACCCCGACACCAGACCTGCCCCTTGCCCACGGGGGGCCCCCGATGCTACGGACCCACAGGCAGAGACCGCCTGGCTCTCTGGCCAGGATGGCGGGCCGCGATTCCTGGGGACACTGATACACAGTAGAGTGAGGAATGCGTCTGGGGTGCAGGGAGGAGCCTCAAGTGCTTCCATATCCAACAACGGCCAGTGGAGAGCCCCAGCGACCCAGTAAAGACAGGCTCGCGAAGAACCCGGTCCTTTGGGGAGAAGATGGAGGTCACCCACAGTCATGGGTGGAGTGTATCCTGCCCCCCAAGAAGCTAGGTGGGAGCTCGGGATGCGACCTTATTTGAAAACATCTTTATTGAGGGGGTCAAGTTCAGAGGAGGTCATTGGAGTGGGTCTTAATCCAATGGGACTGGTGTCCTCATAAAAAGAGGAGGTTTGGAGAGAGAGAGAGGAGTGGGGAGAGAGAGAGAATCATGTAGAGGAAGATGACGTGAAGACACGCAGGGAGAATGCCAAGGGAAGGCAGGAGACTGGAGTGAGGCACTGACACGCCAAGGAAGCCCAGCAGTGACTGACACCCCGCCCCCGGCTGGGAAAGGGCAGGGAGGACGGGTTCCCCGCGGGTCTCAGAGGGAGCACGGCTCTGCCAACGCCTGGATTTCCCGATTCCCGCCTCCAGAACAGCAGAGGACACCTTCCTGCTTTAGGCCACTCGTTGTGTGTGTGTGTGTGCGTGTGTTAAAATATCTTTTTCTTGATTTGAGAGGAAGGGAGGAGGAGAGAGAGAAAGAAACATCAAAGATGAGAGAGAATCATGGATTGGCTGCCTCCTGCATGCCCCACACTGGGGATGGAGCCCACAACCAGGGCATGTGCCCTGACTGGGAATCGAACCGTGACCTCTCGGTTCATAGGTCGATGCTCAGTCACTGAGCTATGCTGGCCGGGCAGATTTTGCAGCTTTGTGTGTGTGCTGCATGCACAGGCCACTTCCTTCCGCCAAGGGTACCTGGGCGTTCATGGCACCCACCTCAGCTGCGTCTGCCCCACAGGCCCATCCCAAGACGCGGGCGCAGGCCTCCCCCGGCACCCTTACCTGGGCACGAGAGGCCTGGGGCTGTGTGTCTAAAGGGCTGCGCACCCTGCACCTCACACAGGGAGACCTGGGGCCGCCCCCAGCCAGGTCGGTGTCGCATCTACGAGAGACAAGAGATCCGGTAAGGCCGCCCCGGAGGCCCCGCCCCGTCTCCGCGCTCCTCCCGCGGCCTGGAGAGGTCCAGGTGCAGGGGCCGGGATGCTTTCCCACACAGACGGGGGCGCATTGGGATCGGCAGTCATGAGGGTCCTCGCCCCCCGCTGGCGCCTCTGATCACAGCCAGTGATTCCTCAGGCCTCGCCTCCCTGCCCTCTGGTCGCCTCCTCCGGCTTCACGGGGCCAGCCCCTAGGAAAGACGGCAGCCCAGGTGAGCGAGTCCAGCGCGGGCAGCGTCCGGGGGGCAGCGCGAGAGGAGGGGACAAAACGAGACCAGTGCCTCAGGCAGAACCACCAGCACAGGCCACGTGCTCTGTCTCCGGGAAGAAGTTCTTCTTTTTTTAAAAAAAATATTTTTACTGATTTCAGAGAAGAAGGGAGAGGGAGAGAAATATCAATGATGAGAGAGACTCATGGATCGGCCACCTCTTGAACGTCCCACACTGGGGATGGTGCCTGCACCCCAGGCACGTGCCCTGACCGGGAATCGAACCCTGATCTCCTGGTTCATAGGTCGACGCTCAACCCGAGCCACGCCGGGCGGGCTCATCAGGAAGTTCTTGAAGAAAGTTCTTCCCCCAATGAGAGGGCTAAGCAAGGAGGAGGAAGACGCGACAGCAGGAGTAAAGAGCATGAGCACAGGATGGCGATGAGGGGAGCAGCCAGGATGACGGCAAGAAGACGTCTGAAGACCTCGCTCGGGAGCGAGAAGACCCAAGTGGGAAACAGAATCACCGAGAGACGCCCCAGGTCATCAGCATGTGCCGCCGGACTTCCCGGTGCTGGCAGGGAGCGGAGGGTGAACTAGTGACGGGCACTGAGGGAGCGGAGTCAGGGAACTTGTAGCTGGTTAGTGACGATAAAGACAGAACGCAGGAATGGGAACGCCACCCCAGAGTCCACGTGGTCGCCTGCAGCAGCAGCCCCAGCACACGGTCCCGTGACAGACTCTCACCACGCGTGTACTACAGCCGAGTATCTCACAGACTCTTTCCTCTGTGCTCGGGAGCTGCCCGGTCACACCGGACGATGAAGGGGCCCCGTGACCCCCGGGCCGCAGTGAGAAGCAGTGCTCCTGGCTGAGCATCCTGTGCCAGCACAACCCCCTGCTCTCTCCCAGGAGGAGGCCCTCCCTGCTCTGACGCTCACCTCCGCGCTGCACCTGCCCTAGAAGCTCACAGGCACAGCGGAGGCATTGGACAAAACCCGAGGGTGCATCTATTTAGGAAAATGCAAATCATCTCCACGTTTTCATTAGGAGGCACAATCGGTATCAGGCTCCAACTCCTCCCTGTGACTGAAATAAAGTCAATGGGGAGGCCTGGCCACGTGACCACGAGAGGACACGGTAAGAGGCAAGATGGGGCTGACGAGGGAGGGAGCGTCCACTTACGCGGATGAAATCCATCAGGGTGTTATAGATGAAGGCTCCCCGGGGAAGGAAGAAGCAGCTGCCCGGACTCAGGTCGTGGAAGAAGAAAAGCTCTTGGTCCTGAAATGAAACCATAACTGGATGTCAAATGCCACAGTGGGTGCTTAATGTTCACTCCACACGTGACACGCCAGACATGAAACGTGCACGGTCCTCATTTCCATTCTCTGACCATTGTACCCAACGTCCCTCAACACTCCCACCTCACCGTCCTGCATAGCACGTGGGAAACGACCCTTTGTACTGATTGTCTCACTAAGCTTTGAACAGTAGCTTTTCCTTCGCCTTCTGTTACTGCTACTTTCTTACGTGGCCTCTTGGAGGATGGGTGTCATGGGAAGAAAACACAGCAAAAAGATCGGAAATATTCACCGCCGGCCCGGCCCGTGTGGCTCAGTGGTTGAGCATGGACCAATGAACTGGGTTCGATTCCCGGTCAGGCCACATGCCCGGGTTGTGGGCTCGATCCCCAGTAGGGAGCGTGCAGGAGGCAGCCGATCCATGATTCTCTCTCATCACTGATGTTTCTCTCTCTCTCTCTGAAATCAATAAAATATATTTTTTAAAAGCTATTTAAGAACACAGGAGGAGAAAGGTTAGGACGGAACCGCGAGTCGACAAAGGCACGCGCCATTGCAGGGGTGACGAGGATGCAGGCCCACCTTCCCGATTCGCCTGTGGTCTCGGCCCTTGGCCTCCTCCTGGGCCTTCTCCCAGGCTCTCATCATCTTGCTCTCGGGGAAGGATATCCCGTAGATCCGCTGCAGCGCTTCCATGGCGGGGCTGCCCTCCCAGTAGGTGGAGGAATTCTAAGCATCCAACAACGTTCGGGTGAGCGTAGCTAACATTCGGTTATAAATAAAATCTGTCTGGCGTATGCACAGCTTTCCAATATCGCATCAACACAGCTTACATGATGGTGACCTTTTCTAGCGCTGGAAAGACTCTGAAGTTGGTTCTAACTAAACCTTCCCAGTCCAAATCCATCAGTACATCACGTAAAGAGCCCAGCCGGGGTGGCTCAGTGGTTGAGCATCAACCCATGAACAGGAGGTCACGGTTCAATTCCTGGTCAGGGCACATGCCCGGGTTGCGGGCTCAATCCCCAATGGGGGGCGTGCAGGAGGCAGCCGATGGATGATTTTCCATCATCGATGTTTCTGTCTCCTCTCCCTCTCCCTTTCTCTCTGTCTAAAAACCAATTAAAAAAAAACACATAGCCCTAGGCTGGTTTGGCTCAGTGGACAGAGTGCTGGCCTGTGGACTGAAGGGTCCCGGGTTCAATTCCGGTCAGGGGCACATGCCTGGGCTGTGGGCTCAATCCTCAGTACAGGGCGTGCAGGGGGTAGCCAATCAATGATTCTTTCTCATCATGGATGTTTCTCTCCCTCTCTCTCCCTCTCCCTCTCTCTCTCTCTCTCTCTCTCTCTCTCTCTCTCTCTCTCTCTCTCTCTGAAATCACTAAATATATATACCTCTCTGAAATCAATAAAAATGTATGTATATAAAAAAATTAAAAAAGACATATAAAGAAAAAGAAAACCAGGATGTACCACAACATCATAACCAGTTAACTGCCACGATGTTTTGAATTTAATTAAAAAAGGTCCGCCGCTTGCGCCGATAGACGCTTATGGAGTACACACGGTAAAATATCATACGAACAAGAAAAATGCATTGCAACACAGTAAGGCTAAATGAAAACTATAAAAGCTACATCTAATGTCCTAATAACATAAATTCTAAAAAAAATTATACTGTTTTTATAGAAGCCCATGTAAAAACCAAATAATGAAGGGTTTAAAAAAATAGCATGATGTTCAGATTATAAAACATGACTGAAATTCCTAATTATCTAGTTTATCTTCAGTCTGCCCTATTCACAGCAATAAACCCTCACCTTGAAAATTTTTATGGTTTTGATTTTCCCGGTGTGTCTCACATGGGGGCCTTTACAGAGGTCGATGAGGGGGCCGCACCTGTAACGAGACATTTCAGACAGGGCCAGAGCCACCCTGAGAGACAAAGCAAAAGCAGTGACTGCCTTCGTGATAACATTTCCGAGTCCCTAACTAAAGTGACACGTCGACGCGCACATTTACAAGTAGACACCGCCCCAGGCCAACTGCTTCTCCTGCTGATCCTTCAAGAGAACCACTGAGCCCGAGCTGGTTTGGCTCAGTGAGGAGAGCGTCAGCCTGCAGACTGAAGGGTTCTGGGTTCGATTCCAGTCAAGGGCACATGCCCGGGCTGCGGGCTCAATGCCCAGTGGGGTGCATGCAGGAGGCAGCCGATCCATGATTCTCTCCCATTACTGATGTCTCTATCTCTCTCTCCCTCTCCCCTCCTGACATCAATAAAAATCTATTTTTTTTTAAAAGAGAACCACTGAGCGGGTTTAAGCTTCACGTGCACATTACCTGTAGACCGTGGTGGTTGGAGTGTTCACCTTCTCGTTCAAAATGCGGCACTTAAACTTATTGTACTACAAAGAAAAACAAATTTGTACGTTATTACGTAAAAAGTTTACGTGGAAAAGTATTTTGTTTTTTGCAACAAACACTGGATGGGTGTTTACTGCATTCTAGGTGCCGAGATCCTGGGGCTATACAGCTCTCCTCAGAAACAGCTTCTTGAAATTATCTGGCCCTGGCTGGTTTGGCTCAGAGCATCGGCCTGCAGACTGAAGGGTCCCGGGTTTGATTCCCGATCAGGGCATATGCCCCGTTGCAGGTTCGATCCCCAGTAGGGGGTGTGCTGGAGGCAGCCGATCCATGATTCTCTCTCATCATTGATGTTTCTCTTCCTCTCCCTTCCTCTCTGAAACCAATAAAATACCTATACATATATATATATATATATTTTTTTTTTAAAAAGAAATTACCTTAAACATCTCCAGAAGAACGTCCTTGCTGACTTCCAATCTTTCAAAAGGTTGCTTTTCTTTTATAATCGTCTTACAGATGCTCTCCAGCGCCGGCAGCTCTGTGCTGGACACGGCTCTGCAGGGGGAGCAGGTGAGAATCAACACTTTCCAGTCCTCACCACGTGCCTGTGTGGCCTTGGTCCTGCAGCCTTTGTCACTCACCAACAAGCTTTCTCGGCGGAGGAACTTGGTGGCTTTTTAAAATTTATATGTTTATTGATTTCAGAGAGGAAGGGAGCGGGGAGAAAGAGACATCAATGATGAGAGAGAATCACGGATCGGCTGCCTCCTGCACGCCCCCTACCAGGGCTCGAGCCCACAACCCGGGCATGTGCCCTGACTGGGAATCGAACCCTGACCTCCTGGTTCCTAGGTCCCCACTCAACCACTGGAGCCACACTGGTCAGCCGGGACTTGGTGTTTTGATGCACCAGGACTTCAGAAAATCAGACATTCATCCGAAGGCAGATAACTTTTCCCAGATAGGGAGACGGGCATTAATGGATGGAATGATCTGCCCTCAGTCTCTTCGACGAGGCCTGCAATTTGAAAGCCCCGTTGGGCCTGAACGGCATGGCTCAGTGGTTGAGCGTCAAATTGTGAACCAGGGCACATGCCTGAGTTTCGGGCTCGATCCCCGGTGTGGGGATTGCAGGAGGCAGCTGATCCATGATTCTCTCTCATCATTGATGTTTCTACCTCTTCCTCTCTGAAATCAATAAAAACGTCATTTATAAAAAACGTAGCCACGATAAAACAACGAGCCCAATCCACATGCACTGAGAAGTGAACGTTCAGTGGTGTTACCTGTCTTCGATGAACATGTCGTAATAAAACCCGTCCTCGATGGGTGGACCGTAGCACAGGTGGCCTCCATAGTAGAGCTCCATGGCCTCTCCCAGGACGTGGGCGCTGGAGTGCCAGTACACCTGCGGGCACAGGACACAGGCGCACGCTGTTGGCGATCAAATCACATCATGCCAAGGGAGTTAAGACGTGGTTGGGTGTTAACACCAGGCCTCAGGGAGACATCGGTTTGGAAACAAAACCAATGCTATTGCCAACCAGAAAGCTGTGTCCTTTGATAAAAGGCCCCTTGTTTCTGGTGTGCACATTGATCAACTTCACAAGAACATTTTTACTCTGTCATTTTCTCCGTGAGTTCACCCAGAAGGCAGAAAGTATTTCTGTCCTGTGCAACATCATGCGCTACATTATAAATAGGGTCATCTTTTAAAACAAAAGCTGGTTTTGCTCCGTGGATAGAGCATCAGCCCGTGGACTGAAGGGTCCCAGGTTTGATTCCAGTCAAGGCCACATACCGTGACTGCAGGCTTGATCCCTGACGTTGGTTGGGTGCATGTGCAGGAGGCAACCAATCGATGTGTCTCTCTCTCTGTCTCTCCCCCTCCTTTCCACTCTCTCTAAAAATCAATAGAAAAATATCCTCACGTGAGGATTAACCAGAAAAATAAATAAAGTTAAATTAAAGTGTAAGGGTTTGCTTTATAAAGGACCTTTAGCTTTTTCAAACAGAAACTGCTTTTACAAAGTCATTAATTTATCACTTCGTATTGAAACCAGGAGGTCACGGTTCAATTCCTGGTCAGGGCACATGCCCAGGATTGTGGGTTCCAGCCCCAGTGTGGGGCGTGCAGGAGGCAGCCGATCCATGATTCTCTCTCATCTTTCTCTCCCTCCTTCTTCCTCTCTGAAATCAATAAAAATATATATTTTTAAAAAGTTACTGAATACCTATTAAATTGCGATAGACCCGTTTTAAACCTTAGAGCGCCACAACACCCCTCGTGCCTGACTTCAATAGGTGGTTTTTTTGTTTAATATATATGTATATATTTGTTTAATATATTTTATTGATTTTTTACAGAGAGGAAGGGAGAGGGATAGAGAGTTAGAAACATCGATGAGAGAGAAACATCGATCAGCTGCCTCTTGCACAACCCCTACTAGGGATGTGCCTGCAACCAAGGTACATGCCCTTGACAGGAATCGAACCTGGGACCCTTCAGTCCGCAGGCCGACGCTCTACCCACTGAGCCGAACCGGTCAGGGCTCCATAGGTGCTTTTGTACACGTTGTTTACAAACCACAGTCGAGTTGTTGGCTGTTGACATACTCACAGCCTGCGCCTCCTCATTGTCAAACGTGAGCAGCTCCAGCGCGGAGTCCCCCTCCAGCGGGCGGTCCAGGTCCCATAATTCACCATTGACCTTGGCTATTACGGTGCTTTCGGCCAGCTCTCGACTGGTGAGAGAAAAAATCACCGGGCAGTTAACCCCGTCACGGGCTGTCCTGATTTGTTAAAGCACAAGAATGAAGTCACTCCCAGGGTTTTTTGTTTGTTCCTTTGTTTGCTTGCGTTTTGAAACCCTCATCCGAGGATATTTTCCCATTGAATTTTAGAGAGAGTGGAAGGGAGGTGGAGAGACAGAGAGAGAAACATCAATGGGAGAGAGACACATCGATTGGTTGCCTCCTGCACGTGCCCCAACCAGGGTGGGGGATTGAGCCTGCAGCTAGGTATGTACACTCGCCTGGCAGGACCCTTCAGTCCGAGGGCCAATGCTCTAACCAGTAGCCACACCGGCCAGGGCAAGAACAACACATTTTCAACAAGCTCTGGCCCAACACTTACTACTGAACATCGCCCGGCACGGGTGGCTCAGTGGTTGAGTGTCGACCTATGAACCAGGGGCTCAGGGTTTGATTCCCGGGTGGCAGGCTGGATCCCCAGTGGGGGGCGTGCACGAGGCGGCCGATCGATGATTCTCTCTCATCGATGTTTCTCTCTCTCCCTCTCCCCTCCTCTCTCTGAAATCAATGAAAATGTATTTTTTAAAAAGGGCTCACAATAGCCAAAAAAACACCCCACCTGAAATCTTCTCCAATCTACGGTTTACCTGATGTCAGCAGCCACCTGGTACGGTGTGGTTTTCCACGCCTCCCCTTCCACGGTTTTCCCATCAGCCACCCTCACTGTGATCGCATCGCCTGCGCTCCCCTCGCTCCCACCGGGGGCACGTGACAGCTGATGCTCTTTCTTCAATGTCTCAAACAAGGCCAATCTTTCCTTTATGAAGTCTGGTTGGTTTTTCACCTGAAAACCATTGGCATGCACTCAGGTTAGCGTACACACCCCACTTTTTCCTTTTTAAAAAAAAATTTTTTTTTAAGTTTCAGAAAGAGGAAGGGAGAGGGAGAGAGAGAAACTTCAGGGACGAGAGAGCATCGTGCACCGGCTGCCTCCTGCACGCCCCGAGCACGTCTCAATGACAGGCAGCGTCTTATACTATTTCCAGAGCAACGACTGACCTCGCTGTCAGGCTCCCGTTCCTCCATCGCATTTTGAATGTCCTTTTCTTGGTTTTGGCGAGGAGGAGGCTGGGAGGGAAAGGTAAATGGTAAACATCTCATGCCCGTGACACGGAAGAGCAACACATCTGAGACCCGAAGGAGGAGGGGGACATGCCAGCAAGTGCCCCCCCGCCCCCCATGTCGGGGCCCTTAGCTGGGCTGCCCTGAGCACCCCCTGCAGCCCTCCATGGGCAAGTTGTTTTCTGAGGTTTGGTCCTTCCTGTCTGGGAATTCTCCTATATTCTTGCTAAAAACAGGATATATAGGGTGTCCCAAAAGTCACGCAAGATTTGAATTTTGGCCGAA